ATAGATTCAGACTACCTTTTAGGCTCAGGTGGATGGATGGATGTTTTCACACTTTTCCACGCTGTCAGATTCCACCGGTGGAGTTGAGCATAACTTGCTTTTCGCAAGTTTATCGCCGCACACCATCCACTGACTCCCGCTGAACGCGTAGCGCTACCTGTACGGCACTATGTTGCCTGGCGGATGGACATGTGACCAACATACCACTCTTGAACCCAGATACTGTGTGTCTGATCACATGCCCTTCCGCCAGGCAACGTAGTGCCGTACAACAGCGGAACAAACAAAACAAATCGTCTTACGATATGACAAAAATCATGGACAATCCATAGAAAAGCCGCACCTGACTAAAAGCCGCAGGGTTCAAAGCTTGTGGAAAAAGTAGCGGCTTATAGCCCGACAATTACGGTATATAAGCATCAAAGATTAAAAAAAAATAAGTTCTAACCTTTCTAACCTTCTTCATTTCTGCACAGTTTTTCAATGTGCATTGTACTCAAAAATAGACATCCCGAAATCTTAAATGTGTTATTGGTGTTTCATGTGGTAACAAAGGAAAGGGAGGAGAAGCTACCTAACCAAGTAGTTTTGTTGCATAAATTAATTTAACCTTATCATGAGTAACTAACTGAGTGCTCCTGTGTTATGGTCAGGAGCTGCCAGCTCCTAGCCTGCCTCTCCACCTGGATTAGCCGATCCCACGTCCTAGCCTGGCTCTCCACCGGGGTCAGTCGATGCTGGGACCCTGTCTGCTTCTCTCACCAGAGCCTACTTTTCTAGAAGCTCGAGTACCTGAACCATTCTTCCTCTGAATCAGCAATGCTATTAGCATCCCTCGTGGTGAGACCCAAACTAACCAGAAGTTGAGTTTTTTTCAACTTCGTATTTGGCTTTATTAGGTTCTTCATTTGTTTATTGTTAACATTTAATTCCCTGTGCTTTGATTTATTTTAGCCATTCCATTCTTGTGGATCGTGATTTTTTATATTTGACTGAGTTTGTATTCTTAATTTTTTTAGGCACTTTCTGGGAGTTTGTGTTCTTTGTATGTTTTGCTTTTCTGTTTAGGTTTTCCTATACACATTTATATTCTTGTTGCATTTTGGTTGTCCACAGAGAAGTTTTGTATTTGTATAGTTTTCTCAGACTTCTCTTTGTTCTTTATAGTATTGTATCTCAATCATCTTCTGAGTTCATTTTTTACTTTCTTAACTGGGGCACTTTTGTCTGAGTTGGACTTCCTTCTCTCTTAATTATCTGATTGTGCTCACCTGTCTCAAATCTCACAGGCGCTTCCTCTCCCTTTGTAAACCCCTACATGCGTAGTTGCAGTATATTGCCTGAGATGCCCTTTGTCTCATTTTACTGTGTTCCCTGACTGCTTGCCTTAGTTTATTCCTCGCACTCCTAGTGTTCTCCTGCCTTGTTTGAATGTTTTTACTCTGAACTGTTTCATTAGCCTAATAAACGACTTGTTTACTCCTAGCTCTCTGCATATTTGATTTGTATTTGGATTGTCTTCTCTATATATTCCAAATATTCTGTTTGTTTTCTTTTTTATTGTTAGACCTCAGTGATTAGTTGCCCAGTGTTGCCTGATCAGATAGGTGGTTAGTAAATCTCGTGGGTTTAAATTATGTTAGGTGGGAAAACAGTTCAAAGTGTCAAGGAAAAAAGCTGAACAGCTAAGGTGGACCCAGAGCAGAACCCAAGACACAGCCTTAAGTTTCGCTTTTTTTTTGTTTTTTGTTGCCTGTCCCGTTTAGCTCTTTTGCCATCAGAATTGTTGTCTAAAGGCAAAGAAAGATGCCCAACGGATTTACTTTACCAAAATGACCATCCCAGCCTTGCCGTAATGGTCCATTTGATTCACCTTTTATTGTTTATTTTATTTTCACTTACTGAATACGGGACAGACTTGACTGGGGGA